GGTAGGCAGCACATTCTACTCCAGCAGAGCAGCCCGAATAGTAGGCAGCTCATTCTACTCCATCAGACCAGCCCGACCGGTAGGCAGCACATTCTACTTCAGCGGAGCAGCCCGATGGGTAGGCAGCACATTCTACTCCTGCAGGAGCAACCCGAATCGTAAGCAGCACATTCTACGTCAGTGGAGCAGCCCGAATGGTAGGCAACTTTTCGTAGTCGGGGAGGTGTGCACCCCACGGCAGGCCGCCTGACGGGTAGGCAGCTCATCCTACACCATCCCGCCCGACATAAGGCCGTGTCGTGTAACGGCCGTAAGTTTGGTCCTGTTCCGATACGTATCACGCGGTTGCCAAAGGGTCAGCCGGCCTGTGACTTACCGGCACCTAGCTCTCTCGGGCTGTCCATGGCGCGTTCCAGGGTGTCCCATTTGGCGTTGAGGTGCTGCGCCCGCCAGCTCACCTCCTCGGTGAGCTCAGGGCAGCGCTGCAGCAGGCGGCCCGACTGCTCGTTGAACAGCCGCCGTCTGAAGCCCTCGCGCTGCAGACGCTCCATGTGGCTCTGAGTGAGAAATGGTTCCATCAGTAATGCATGCGACACTGAGGTTTCAATGGCCAGCCGATGCTCTAGACACATACCGTCCGCAGCGCTCGGTCCGCCACTGTCTCCTCCTTGCCGTACACTGCCTCTTGGATACTATTCAACCAGGAATAGAGTTCCAAGAAGTGTGCGCTTAGCTGAGCAAAGCTCCAGTCCTCGTCTCTGCTGGAGCCCCGGCTGGACCCCGACGTATAGACGGACAAGTCCCCGCTGGCCTCCTGGAGCAAAGCGAGAGCTATCGTTAAATTTGATTCAGCACTACATGACAAGAGTGAGGGGGGACCGTTAGACTGTCTTAAAAGAATTTTGATATTGTTAAGGTTGATTAGTATAATAATTTTTATTTTATGATGAGTCACAACCCAAAAATATTTTCCCCGCACTTCTAGTTTCTTACAAACAGCACACTCTAAATTTCAAGGCACAATTTTGCTACATTGCAAGCTGCATCTTGCAAGATCCACAATCGGACAAAATGAAATTTTGTCCACCGGAAGACATAAATTTGCCACTTCTCTTGATTCAAAAGTGCATTTTGCAAGGTACACAAACTGTCCCTTCACATTTAAAGTAGCGTTCGTGTTACACACTGCAAAATGCTTGCAAAGAATAGGAATAGGTCTGTACAGGGTGGACCAAAGACCCCTTCTTTTATTTTGCTTATACACGCAGGCGTGTGGCTTGGCTTGCCAACCGTCGCACACCACGGCGCCTTATAGCCCCGTGTGAGTATGCAACCCGGCCGCACGACTGCATGCCGCACAGTATAATCAAAATAAAGGATGGGGTCTATGGACCACCCTGCATAGCAAACAATTTTCTTTGCAACTTGCAAAGAATTTTGGAGCATAGTAATACGAACTAACAAGTTCTTCGCAAGCCTGTAAACTATTTCTTAGCTTTGCAAGGATTGAGAGGGGCTGCAAATAACTTCTATTCAATACGAACTAGTTCTTTGCAGCGTTGCCATAAGCATAGTATTTAAGCATTTTACAGGGCAAAGGCGAAGAATTAGGTTTGTTAGCATATCTAGAAAAACCGTAATTCGAATGTACGAGATTCTGCAGGTGGGGGTTAATTATAACGAGCCCGGATTCAGTTTTCAGTGCACATCAAGAACATAGTGATTGTGGTACCTTGCAGGTGTCGATGAGGTGGCTGTCCATCAGGTAGTCGTAGTCGCTCTGCAGTGCCGCCCAGAACTCGTCCTTGCCGCCCCAGGACCTCCTCCAGGTCTCCTGCTCGGGGTCCCGGGTCCTGCGCTTCTTTGTTAGCGAGTCGTATGGCCGTTGCAGCCGTGCCGCCAGCTCCGGTCCCAGGGCCGGCCCCAGCGAAGACAGCGAGAACGAGCTCTTCATCGCGGAGTTCTCGAACCCTGAGCAAATAGACAAATATGTAACGTCCATTCTATGCGACTGAAAACAGTTTATTGGACACTATGTAGAGCATGCGCAGAAGATGGCTTCGAAGAAACTTTACAGATAATCTGCAAACTCAAAAGTACACTCATTGCTGAATTAACATCAATCAGTGACTGCCATAAGCCATGTACACACGTACACTGATAAATCAATGATCATCAATGATTCCTGATAATTCAGCAATTAATATAGGCTCACTGTAAAATGGTTGGCGTCATTTAACGCCAAATTATTGGCGTCCTTTAAAGAACGCCAAATATTGGCGTTCTTTTCCGAAAAACGCCAAATATTGGCGTTCTTTTCCGAAAAACGCCAAATATTGGCGTCTTTTAACGCCAAATATTGGCGTTCTTCTCCTTCGAACGCCAAATGTTGGCGTCTTTGAACGCCAACTTCTGGCGTTATCACAGAACGCCAATTCTTTGGCGTTAAAAGACGCCAACCAGTTTAGAGTGCTCTTGAGTTTTTTAATTAATTAGCTTCTGTCTCCGGCGTTAACACCGCCCATGTATTTTCATCCCCCCCCCCCTTAAGGTTTTCCACCTTCGCCCACCAGCCCTACTTACGCTGACAGGAACGTCGGGAAATGTAAGTGTTCTGTGATATAGTATAGTTATTATTATTAGCGTTTGGAACCGTGTGTTGCCACATCTGCAAACCGCTTGCACCCTGATCAGGCTTTCGCCGACGTTCAAACCGGTGACCAGGCGCTACCTCTCCGTCAACAGCTGCTCAGAGAGAAGCAGTGGAGAAAACCAAACCAGATGAGTCGATCTCCTTGTTGTGAAGGAATTGGCTTGTTACGACTACGACGGCAGTCCGGCCAGACACACATTGCCTGTCCCGGTGTAGAGGTCGGTGTGTGTGCCTGTATGCGTGTGTGTGTGAGAGGGGGGCAAGTCTCAGCCCATCTGCATACTCAAGCCGTTACATTGAAAGGGAGTCACACATTACATATTACAGCAGTCCATATTAATCAATGTTCTCGCTTTTTGAATTGTTGGTAAAATATTGGTAAAATATTCGCGGTCGAGGGTTGGAGGGTCGCCTCGTCACCTCCAAACTACTCAAAAGGTTATTCGGCCTTATTTCTTTTTTCTGCAAACTTAACAAACCTTTTCCCTTTTGCGATGCAGAAAATAAGGCAGACGCAAACGCCACGGTTTCTATTCGCTGTGCATAGAGGAGTAAAGAGTTAGAGCGTTAGGGCACCGTTAATGCGCGGCAACCGCTGTGTGTGTGTGTGTGTGTGTGTGTGTTCGTGTAAAAGCAGAAGCGCCCTCCATACCGCAGCACAACAAGCTCCCGTGTACAGCCAGCTGCTGGTCCAGCAGCTATCCCACGAGTCGGCAGCACTGACCGCCATCCTCACCTCGCACGGCGTGGCGGAGGGCGGAGGCGCCAACGCCAGGAGTCGAGGCGCGGCCCGCCCTGCGTTTAGCTCCGTCACGGGTACGTACCTCCCGGCATGGTGGTGACGTTGAGTGCGGAGTCCGAGCGGTGCAGGCGGCGGCGGCAGAGGGGGCGGCGGGGGCCTACTGCCCCCTCAGCGGCGGCCTCTGGGGGGCGGGCGCTGTCGCCATGGCCAGGCCGCGAGGGCGGTGGCGGCGGGGGCGCGTGCGGGGCGGGGGGGGCGGGGGCGGCGGGGGCGGCGGCCGCGCGCTGGACTAGCAGGCGGCACCTGGAGCGGCGGCCCCGGCGCCACGGACCCGAACGTCTGCAACAAACCAGCATATGCAATGTTGACTCTAAATTCGAAAACAGTCTACCAAACCAAGTATGTCCAAATGCTTAACACTTGTGAAGGTGCAAATGCAAGTTCAATACTTGCAAGTCTGCAACTGCGTTAATTAAAAGTACACTCGAAAAGTTCAACTTTTCTGTTTAACACTTTGCAGACAGTCTGAGGAAGTGTTCAACATAGGAGTTGCACACTTAGAAAAATGGACAGCTACGAAGCTGAAAACTTGCAAGGGCACAATAACAGAGTTCAATACTTCTACGCGTACAACTTGCACTTGGACACTTACACTTTATGGCGAGCAATGGCCTAAAACGTCCTTCTCTCTCTCTCTCTCTCTCTCTCTCTCTCTCTCTATCTCTCTCTCTCTCTCTCCTGGGGTTACATTCCGCCACCAGTGTGTGATCGAAACTGAAAGGACCCGTCACTTTCCCGCCCGCACATTGCGCGAGTGCGTTGCGGCGCGTCCAATGTGACGGCGTGTGGCTCGGTACGGTACGGGACGGTACACCCACGGGGTGACCTTTCACACAGGGCGAATAAAAGATCAACGGCCCAACGGCACACGCAAGTAAAGCGGAAGCGGCACGCGCTTCACGCAGTGAAAAGACTTCCACGTCAATAGTTGGGAAGAGCTGCGGCCCGCGATTTTACAGGATAGAAAAAACCCATCTTTTAGCCGTCATTTGTCGATCACAATAGATGGCGTGGCGCGCCGTGGGACGCACGGATTACGGATTGAGCATGGGGCGCATGGTGACGCCATTGCAGTGTGCCTGCCTGTTAAATGCAAGTGGATGCATGCATTTCAAATAAAATGAATTCATATGCGAATGATGTCACTGCATACTATTGGGAGTTAAAGCTAACCGTGCCAGCACCCTCGAGTGCAGGGCTCCGTAACTTATTAATTACTTAAACATGTGTTTTGTGTCGTTGAGTAGCTAACATTTGTCAGGGCGGGCTGCCCAAAACTTGAAACACGTCTTAATCTGATTATTATTTTTGTTTTTCATTCCAGAGTGCAGGCCAGGCTCTAGGACGCAGTTTTTGAGCTTTCGACTCGTCTTTGGCACTCAATCTAGCCCAGACACGTGCCTCTCGTTTGACAAGGGCAACATTTGATTTCCCATCATATCTCATTTTTAGGGTACCGAAACGTGAAAAAGTACAGGGTGGCCCTCATTAATAACATGCGTTGTGTGCTGCTATTCTTCGTTGTTTTGTTTTTTTGTAACAATTATTTTTAAATCAATTGCATTGTGTTCCCCAAGTGCCTTGATAACAATTTCTTTTGAGCGTTTAAAAGGATTTCACAAAGTTTGATAAATTCTAAATTTTTGAAAATCTCTAGAATGTGCTACGTCCGTCTCACATCCTCGACACTGATATTTCTGTTTTTCGAAACGTCATCAATCCTACACTTGGATGGGGTCGTCACGCCTCGGTCGCAACTCGAGCCCCGAGTGCACCGAGCGTGGCGGAGCAGGACTCTGCCGTACGCAGATCTCATTTCAGCGTCGGGTTCGTCTGACGCCTAACCTTTTGCTGAAGCAAATCCACACCGCTGCCTAGGAAGGAGCCAACCCAGATTGGCCAATCGTCACGCTGTGGTGCGACTTTGCGGCCATGTTTTGGCAGAACGTATTGGCTGATTTTCAAGTTTGCTTGATTTAGTTCAGAAATACACCATGTCGTAATTTTACGCAAACCTGGACACGTGTAAACCGAACGAGTAGAGATTTACCCTTCTTTCTGATTCTGATTAGATTACAAGTACATAACGAATTAACGCTGGCGATGATAGATTGACCGAAACGAGCTCCGGACTGAAACTCATCTGCGAGCGAGTAGAGGATAGGGGATTTCGGGCCTGAACCAGTCAGTCACTGGCACCCGCTACCAGAGAGGCACACAGACGAACAGCGAGGGACGGAGAGAGGAGAGGAGAGAGAGAGGGACAGGGACAGGTATGGAGGAACGGAGGAAAGGGAGAGCGATAGAGAAGGAGAGGCGCCGTTCTAAACGACATTATAATGAGGGTCAGATCTATAATAAGCGATATCCCTAGACCGGACTAACACTCTGCTAATGTCGCACTCTCCTCCCTCGGCGCCACGCCCCTTCACATAACCCGAGAAAGAAATCCATCTCTAGCAGTGATTAAAGAAGGCCCTCTCTAAATTTCGATCGTTGAACAACCTTAACACATGCAGAACGTTTGACACAAAAGTAAGTTTTGAAGTGACTCTGTCATACTATTTGATGTTTTGAAAGTTGAGAGACGTTGACTGTAAAGGCAGTTGAATAAACCCAACGAATGAGGCGAAAAATCGCGAAGCTCTTCCTCTTTTTCCAAGAGTCTGAGAGATATACCCCACCCTCGACATGGAATGTCTACGCAACACACAATTAATGCCTACATGCTCCAGGCCACGTGCGGTGCGTGCGTGTGTCTGAGAGCTGTGAGGTCACATGACTATGGGCCACGGAAGGAAAGTTGTATACAGTAAACCCTTGTTACTTCAGAAAAAGCAGGGAGAGCGAGCAATAGTGTGGGTGTTGGCCACTTTTTTGGAGAAGAAATATACAAAAGTGAAATGTAAAAAAAGTCTACTGAACAAAAAAACACTTTATTTCTATTTCACAATTTTAAAGCCAAAACCAGATTGGCAATATTTTTTCGTGGTCATTTGAGAGTGCACGAGACCCGTAATGCGCCTGTGCTTTGCATACAGTGAGTGGCTCACCCACGATGGATGGCCAGCCCAGCCAACGCCCAACGAGCAGGAAAAAGACGCATATAGAGCACGGTAAAAACATTCCTCGAAGCCGTATTCTACACGATAACTGCAAACTTTTTCAAATTACGTCGGTTATTTATAAGGTAATTAGAAGCGACTCGTGTCAAAAACTAATCGGGGGGTTATTGCATAGAGTACCTGCGGTGTGCATGGAGGCGGCAACCGGGGCGGGGGCAGCGGGGCGGGGGCGGCCCGGCCTCTGCGGGGTCCTGCAACAGGAAGGCGACCCGAGTGTCACATCAGCGTGCCGCAGCGTGCCCGACCAATAGTAATTGATCATTAGAAACGAGAATGGTGATATCAATTTCCGTCGGCAGACGAGGCAGAGCCAGGCAGACCTGGGCGCTGGGAACGCATTTGATGGACAATGGGCAATGCCGACATGATTATAACGCGCGACGGAGGGTCAAGGGGGGGGGCGGAGGGCGACAGTAGTCGGCGAGGAAACCAATCTCTCATGAGAAAGCCTCGCCCAAGTCCAAAGTTAGCCGAGGCGAACTCTCCTTCCTAATCTTGCCATCTTATTGGAGTCTACCGAGCGATCGGTGCGACTAAACTGCCTATTTATGTATTCTCCTTGTGTCCCGTCCGGACGGAGAGTATTGACTGCGGACGAGCGGGACAAGCGGCCAACATTATTCAACACGGGCTCCATCAGCACAACACAGTCTTTAAATATTTCTTTTGGCGGGAAAAAAATTATATCCACAATCGTTGGGCACACAAGCGAAGCGATCTTTTGAGATAGTAATTATTGGCGCAGAGCGAAGCGCTGAAAAAATAAACAAGCAGGCCCGCCCTTCCGCCAAACGGAGTTGCCAGCTCCACTTCGCTGCGCCGGCAACTCCGTTCGGCAGGGGCCGGGCCTGCTTGGCCTGCCGGCGGCGATGGTCGGGCCGCGATGGTCGGGCCTTCGGCCCGACCATTTCAGTCTCGCGATTTACTGAAGTGCATCATCAAATAAATAATGTGACCGGTAAATCACTTTTGCATATTTAAGTAAAAATAAAGCGTCCTGTGGGGGGCCTGCGGCCCTAGAAATTTGC